GAAAGCCCCAGTCAAAAATCTATCCTTGAGCATGAAGACATTTTCATATCATTACTTTGCTTTGTTTTTTTTTTTGCCTTCATTTCTTCTCGCTTTGTTAAATTTCGCGCTCTAATGCCAAAGTCTTGTACATGCGTAGTATTCAGCTCCAATTTGGATTTTCTCTCTTTTCTTACTTCTTTTCTTTCAGACTAGTAAATCTTTCTTGTTTTTATCTTCTCCTAGGCAGGTAGGTCAAAGGGGACTTCGTAAAACTTCCGAAAGTGAGGGGAGACTTCGTTTTCAGACACCCTAGAAACCGACTCGTGCCGGGCCCTGACTCTTGCGGCTAGATGGCGGTACGGTCGAATACCAAACACAATATTTGAGTTTAGTTGATGGCGTGGAGCAGCACTACAGCATAGCTTGTATCGAGATGATGGTGTTACAGCAACATCATCCGCAACATAGCTTATACAATCTACAGTCGGTCTAATGGTGACAGTCCCGCGCAATGCAATCACACCTTCGCGCGCAGGCTGGCCTTCTAGTAGGTTGTGACGAAAGCTCCCGGGCAGTTTTGAAGATTCCATTTTCAGATTTTTTTCTCACTCGACCGAATCTTGACGATAAATATATTACATGTTCCTGTAGAAGAAAGCCTAGGCTTTCCAGACTCGCATCCAGTTTTTATCTATATCAACTCGTATTTGGTCTATATACCAGAAAAGGAAGTCTGTACCACAATGAAAATTTCAAAATTTGTCTTTTGCTGTTTTCATAATGAACAAAGAAAACCATTTATAGGGTTGGTCAGTATGGCAGGCTGTCCGCTTCAAAATCGTAGCTGTGCTCGAATTTTACATTAGGCGCACAAAACTTACAAGCTCTCAAACTTTCCTTTGACCGCACCTATTTTCGCAGTGGGTGTCGATTTTGTAAGCATCGTCATGCCTCGATGATGGGTCCAAAAGATGTGCAAGACATCACCCCAACAATTTTTGCAGCAATCGAAGATTTGATTCATTCCATGAAAAAAAGGAAGACTTCAAACTCTTTTACTCAAAAATGGAGCGTTTTCAGGGAGAAACGGCCTATTTTTCAATTTTTTAAAAAAAATTTCTACAGGTTTTCCTCCAAAATTGATTATGACACAGTCTACAAGCAGCCTCAGCAGAGTTCTACATAATTACCACATATCAGCTCTGCAGCTCTCTTCGTGCCAGAGAAGTTCCTGCACCAACAGGCCAAAATTCAAGTTAACCTTTTTTTCTACTGCGCGTATTGGTGGCCCGAAATGAAGTGCTTAGGACCCAAGAAAGTGAACACACCCTGTGGACAACATTGCCTTTGTAGCAAAATTTGCAGTTTTCAAAAAAGATCAACCTGCTTGGAGTTAAAGCTGTTTGCAAAATTTCGCCAGGCCCGGGAACTTTTAATAGCAGTGGCGGTCGCAGGACTTCGGACTGGGGGGAGGCGACAAAAAATTTGCAGGTTCCTAACCCCTAAAATCTGGAAAAAAGGGGCGTGGCGTCAGCCACGCCCCGAAAAAAAATTTTTCACAAGGCCAATTTGAATTTTTAAAAATTTTAAAAATTATTTTGATTATTTACAAGTATAAACAAGTCACTTACACATTTTTATAACCCATATAGGTAACTTTCAAAAATTTCGCGACCCATCCTCGGGAAGGGGGCGCGCCCCCGCCCCCCCTCGGTCCGCCACTGCCCAATAGCTGTAGTATTACTACAATAAAAAGATGAGAAGCGCACTTGAAAAGCAGCAAGAAGCCTAAACGGGAATATTTGACTAAGAGCTAGCTTGCGGCGTATCGTTGCGGTTGCACTGCGCAGGTTTGTTGCCGTTAGACGGCAGTGGCGTACCCAGGATTTCGGCTCGGGGGGGGGGGGGGGCGACAAGAAAATTTTTCCGATGAAGGCGTGTGGCGTTAGCCACGCACCCAGAAAAATTATTGGTACGTTTCTCAAAATTTTCGCGGGCCCAGATGAAATCCAAGAAAATGCGGTCGCCGGAAGTGCGTGTGTGTCGCGCGCGCTAGCTCCATCGTCGCGATTTTTCGAATGCCCTAAACTTGACTAACACAACTAAATGTTTAAGAAAATTCAGTCAGATTTGCCTACACTTTTCTCTCTTTGTCTTCAATCTTCCTCATCTTGAATTCGTATGAACGCATACAACGGCCTTGACTGTGACCAACAAACCTTTGCAACACACTATTTTTTGGTTCATTTTTTTCCAGTGCGCTCAAGTTCGATGCTGCGGTAGGTAGGACACCGTTGTTCTTCTCTCAATTAGGCCGATATTGACACCTTTCTGTCGGGTGGTCTCACTTTGCAAGCGACGAACTGTTACCTGCATCTGAACGACGTGTGTCGTGTGTGTGTATGTTGCGATAACGATCGATGCATGTCATCTCTGCAATTTTTGAAGATAAAATTTTCAAATAGAAATTTTGCTAAAAATTTCCCATGCCAGCCTTTTCTAACTTTGCCGTACTATGTTTAATCTCATTTCGCTTATGGGTTAAGCTCTAGTGAATTTTCTTGCCATCTCCAAAACTTCTGAGACCGCAGTCGATTTTGAGGAATTGATTCCTTTCCCAAGGAAAACAGAAAATTTTGGTCTAGCTTTCCTACGTAAAAGGTCTGCATCACTTCTGCACAGAGAGTTCAAGTAGATTTATTCTCTCCTCATTCAACCTACGTCGTATGCTTTAAGTAGCTAATATAATAATCATATGATAAGCCGCTTATTTGTCGGGCTGTAAGTCCGTCTGCTACGAAAATACAGTGAGGAATGATTTACAATACTTTGCAGCATGTGAGGTTCTGATAGCGAATATGGTTCATTTTTAATTAGGACTCTCTCACCGCATTCAACCTGGCAATAATTCAAAAGATAGCCTTCACCTCGTAATAATCATAATTTAATGAGTGCTTGAAGTTAGCTTAATCCATTCGCAGAGTTGATATGCTCTTTTATTCATAACAATACAGCTTAACGAATGATAAGGTGAAGCGTCGTAGTTCTGCAAACTCGAGAGTGCATGAGAACTCATCTATCATGAATGCCACTATATCTGTACATTAGATTTCGAGGAAAAGTCCTGTAGTTGAAAGCAACAAACACCAATGTTATTCTTCCTCTTCTGAACAGGACAGCAAAAGCTTCGCATAATGAGTTCTTGAAACATTTACCGAAATGATGTTTTAGTCTATCGAATGCGTTTTGTATGCAGATTCACCTGTTAAATTCGAGCCTGCTTTCAGAAAACAAAAATATTGACGCAGCAACTTGAATACAATTTTGTGGGCCAATAAAGGCTTCACAAACAACTTCTTTTCAATGAAATTGTGCCTATTTTCATCCGCAGTTTTCCATTTTCTAGCCTTTTCATGTTTATAATGCACCTTCAATATACATAAGTGAGTGAACAAAAAATAAATCAAACATCCAGCATGTTGAGATAGCATCAAAAAGATAAGTACCGGTCTTGTCTGAACGAATGTCAGCTCTACAATTTTTTCTTGTAGATGCTTTGACAAAAACACTTGATATATGATTGCAATGAAATGTTTCAAAGTTGAAACATAGTCAGTGTAAGGTGCACCTGCATTCTGTTCGTCATTGCACAATCAACAGAAACTGTCTGAATGTTGCTCATGCTATGATATTTCGCGGTCCAGAATCTTGCAAATAGGAAAAGTTAATTTGCAGCAGGACTGTTCTACTCCCAAAATCATAGCATCATTTGTAGCATGTTATATTTTCTAGTCTCGAAAAAGTGTTCTTTCAAACCTATTGCTCTTCTTGAATGTCCCTATCATGTTTGACGTGGTTAAGGTCTTGAATTGAAAAGTGCTCCAAAGCATCTTGATAGACTCCTCATTGTATAAACAAGTCCATGATAGCATCAAGCAAAACAACGCTTGCGTACAACAAAATTTTAAAAAAACTGAGGAAAATGGTTATCAGCCGCCAAATAACACAGTCACTTTTTGAGAAGAAAAAAGCTGCTTTAGATACTTCACGAAAAGATTCTATGTATGCGTGTGTAAAAGAAAATTTTCATATTTGGAACAGAAAAATTTGTTTGTATTATTAAAGCTGAATATCTGTATATATGTCTGTCCCTCGGTCTGACTGCCCGTTGTTCCGAATAAAACTTTTTTTAAACCGATCCGGACTAAACTTTGACACACATACATCTGTGGGCAAGTGTCGTCGGGTTACTTTTCATTACCGACCGATATCGATTTTATCGATTTTTTGCAAAGTTTGAGCTACGGAGCTGGGACATGGCAAAGGGGGGGGGGGGGGGTCATCGATGAAAGGGCCGGCCGGGGCCGGTACTGCCAGCTAGTGACCTATAAGCGCAGTAACCACTCATTCTAAGTTCGAAGTTTTGTAAACGAGGATGTGTCTTCTAGGGTACCAACAACGCTTCTGCAATATTGGATCGAAAACTTGCGCAAAAAATTGAGTTCCGTATTGCAACAATTTATTAGTTGCGATGAATTCCTTGCCTAAAATCGTATCTGCAATAAATCAATTCTACTGGAAACCCCTTCGCGTTCATAATTTGATCTGTGTATTTAGACTTCTCATGTGGATTGCTTGGGGGACTTAACTAAGCCATTGCACACTAGACGATCATTAAGGAAGGTTCAGCTCGGCGAAACGCGCCCAATACCATAATCTTACCAAGCGAAACAATCTTCCATTACTGTACTGGGCAAAGATTTAGAGATAACACTCTGTGCAAGTATGAACCATGTGAGTCGAGCGTTGTGCTGGAACGTTCCAGAACTTACGGATCAGTATGAACCCAGCCTTAGGCAGCTACTCTTCACATAAGAAATTTGTCTACCCAGATTTCCCTAGTGTCTTTGCCTTTCTTCCTACCTTATTTCGAAAAACCGGCAGTTCGGAAATCTCCCATATTTCTCTCTCGTTTAAACTCCACTTTCATATTAGTAATCCTCGCAAATCCTTTTCAGAATGCTCGTACCCTCCAACGGTTTACCTCGATGGCCAAGCTCGACATCGATGATGCCGTCAACGCCGAATCTCCTCTTCCAACAGATGTATGGTGCACAATTTCCACCGCAACGACTACCAACAATGGATTGTGAGTGGTTTCCACATGTACTAAAATTCCGCTTCTTTTGTTTTGCGAAAGAAAAGGCCAATGGTACACTATACAATAAGTATCGTCGTTGACCGCACGGAGCGACCGTAGATTGCGGAGCACGCGCTGGGCGGCTGAAATATCACGACAACGACTTGTACAACAGCCTTTATACTGGTACAAGCGTTTGGCCGGGCCGCGCGTGTCCGCAATCTACGACTAGTCCGTGCTATCAACGACTTGACGGTAGGTAGCGAATTTGTCGTATCACTATTTTCTTGTCAAAAAAAAGGGAACTAGGAATCTGGTAAAGGTTGCGCTATGCATAGAAGGAAACTAGAATATGTGATAGTGATGACAAAACAAATAATAAGACTGCAAACAACCAAGAAATATAATTTCTCATGAAGAAAGCTGTTATGACCGACAACATGTAATTTCGGAAATACCCATAGCTGACAGCTCCCATCAGCGTTACAGTTCCACTTCCTGCACAGATCTGCTTCTTCTTAGTGACTCAAAGACATCACAACCGCGCCGTCTCAATGAGCAGGACTTGTGCTTGCTTGCGTAGTAGAGTGATGAAGCTAGTGTTATGAGCGTTTCATTTATTAACCCCCCTAATTCGGCTAAATACAGTCGAGTAGATTTTCCATTTATAGTGTGCTTGCACTGTCGGTGAAATGCGGTAAAATTTGCGCGTAAAAAATTAGCTACGCCAATAATGCCGGTAGTCTGCGCGCGCAAATGGAAGGTTTCACAGGCGTAGCTATTTCTTCACGCGCAAATTTTACAGCAATTCACCTACAGTGCAAGCACACTATATTGAGCGATTCTATTCGACTGTATGTATGACGTTGGCAGTAACATATTTTTGTTTATTTATTTGGTGATTCAAGATCTAATTTCGAAATTGAACATTTCAATAGAAGTTCTTGGGGGAAATGCAAAGTAGATGCAGAAGTAGCATTGCTGCAAGCTTTTTCAGCTTTTGTAGTCATTAAGATAATCGTCCAGTTACGTCTCCGAACTGTTTGCAATACGTCGAAACAAAACTCCCGAGTGAACAATTCAGTGGATTCGCAAAAGATAACGGCTATTTGGGTGAATCCCATTAATCTTCGCTTTTTCACTCTCTTAATGATCGGCCGCGAAGGGGGCGATCTAGCGAATGTCATTTTTCAGGCGAGAAAAAATTGGATGACTTTTCCACCATAACGATAGATCTCTTTCTTCAGAGCCGAATGTTTCTATAGTGGGGATTAACGATATGCAATTGGACTTCAGAAAAACATTTGATGTAGTGACGAAACTTTTTGCAATTTTACAGCAGAAATGTGGGCACTGTGGAGAACATGTCTTATATCTGACAAAGCAACACCGTTCAAATTAATCCTAAGAGCACTGACTTGTTTGTCAAAAAGACAAAAAAGCATGCAACTTGTGCGCAACACAGAATTATTTCAAATGCGAGTCGTTGTCAGCGATCACCTTCAATTAATCTATTTTTCTTCTGAGTAGGAGTTCGGCATCCGCAACGTGAGGCCCATTGGAATTTTAGTCACGGCGCCAGTTTACTCAAGCCGCACGCGTTGGAAAGTCGCCATAAGCGCTGTCCCGGCGACTATGGAAAAGGCGTAAGAGATTGACCCAGGCTGTGGATATAGTGGATTCCTTAGTGCAACAGGCAAATGGCATTTTCAGTGCATGGATGTTTGATACCTATTTTACGATGTGGGCCACACGGCAGCAAATAGTTTGCTTATATTTTGGGGCGACAATACGATAAATGTTTCGAAGTGACAGAATAAGAGGAAATTTTCCCAGGTAAAAAAGAAGTCATGTCAACCATAATCTACCCTGCTGATTGATGCGCATGTGAATGCTGCACCTCCACTGAACAAAGCAATACGAAAGAATGTGGTGGATCAATCCGTCCATAGTTGCCAGCGTGCCGTCTCAGTGCCGGGAAGCCGCGTTGTCACCCGCGCCGCATGCAGTCGACGTCGCGTGCTGACCCTGTGCCAGCATTGTGCAGGAACGAAGGCAACTAGGACAGATCATCACAAAGAATATGCGCATGTGATTTAGCCGGAGAAACATCGAGCGTTCAAGTCGATCCAAATAATAAGGAACTATAATCCGCCCTGTTCTACCTGCCTAAAACTGGTGCAGTTGAGAACCTATCAGTAAATATGCATCTAACTTCAGTCTTCCAAACTAATTAAGACCTACAGCATCTGCAGTAGGTCATCAGTACAATTTTACTCATATGCCCAAAATCCCATTTCTTTCATAGCTTCGATAATGATTTCGAAGAAATAGCGCAAAAAGCATTGTTTGCCGACCGCACACTGATTAAAAAAGATATATACAAAAAGCGGGATCTGTAAAGCAAAAGTTCACCAGACACCTTTTTGCAAGCATGCTACGTTCTCCTAATATGGACTGAATAGGATGAGTTGATATGAAAACAATGATTAGATAGTTGTCTCGAAGAAAAAATGAAAGCTGATTATTCATATAGGAAAAACAAAGCTTCTGCAGGATTATTTGATTTCGAGGACTGGAGCGTTCAAATGACAAACGCGTCCTAGAACAAGCGAGAGCAAGTGATAGCAGTATCAAGAGACTCATCTTGTTCCGTAATCTTCTGTTTCTGACGGAAAAGCTAGAGGCGTCCTCAAAAAGTATAACTTCATCTCTAAGAACTGAACGGAAAGCTCTTCTATACAATCTGTGAAGGAAACGAAACTTACCTAAAAGCCCTTCTCAGCCATTGAATGGAATCTGTTCTACAACTTGAGTCGTGGTTTCTACCCGACTCTCCTGGCCGCTGGTCCCGCACGTTTTCCCTTCTCGCACGACAACACATGTGGTCCTATGTGGAAATCACACATTTGAATCGAATGGTTTCAGTCGATCACGGAGCGGCATTTGTGCCATGTTTACTTCCTTCGTTCTTAGTAGGCGTTTCACATTTATCAGTTTCCATTCCGTATTTCAAGATCTTCCTGTCTTAGGCCCCTCGTTACTCTTGAGCCTGTCAGTACAAATTAGAGATCTCAAAGGCATCGGCGGATGTAAATAGTAGGATTTTTTGATCGGGACTGCTGGCCACTAGAGAGGGCGAAAGGAATGCTAATGGAAAACAGAATGTAGAGACTCATGGATGAATTGGGAGCCATTGGGAGCTTCTCGCTCCCGGCTTGTCAGTCCTACCGCATGTGCTCAATTCGAACTCTTTTCGGCCAATCGGATCCAATATTTCAAACCTACAAATCGCTCGTACTTGGCTCGTGAGAAAAATGTTCGAGAGGCGAGCATTGCCGGTCCGTCATAATGAGAAGCACATTGAAATCTCCATGCGTATCTTCAGATACATTGGTTTTACACTCCAATTAAAAGCAGTGTCCAGGCAAATCTGAGCACATGAGTTTTCTGCCTGGAAACGGATGAGAGGGTCTTAGCTAAGTCGTCTAAGCGGCAGCGCAGATGGTTTATCCACGGCTGAGAAATCCATCCCTAACCTCTCCGCACCTGCGCCGTGACCGACTCGCGAGTGAGTGAGGACGGGTCCGAAAGCGAACGCAGTGTTAAAGTGAGCGAAGTCTTTGGTTACAGTCATGGCGCAGGCGCAAAGCGTTTGCGGACGGATTTGTCAGTTGTGACTGAATCATTTGGCTGTCGCTTGGGGGTAGTGGCTTGGTTAGGACCATCTTATCTTCAGGCGGAAAACCCATGCGTCCCGATTTGCCCGGACACTGCCTTTGAAGGACATGCTGATCTGATGAATATCACTTTCGGCTTTCGGGTAATGCGTTTAGGGGCTACGGTAGTGTAGCATCCGCTACGGATGGATGAGGTGGCAATCACAGATCGGCTGTTTGGTGGCTTTGATCTGTAACATTGAATATGAATTATTCCGCCTGGGTCTTAATATATTTGTTATTGATGCACGCCGTGGTGCCTAGCCGTGATTTCATGCATTACCTTGGACTACTCTGACGGTAGCGTTTGAGCCTAAAGTTTTTCGCGTACCGGGACTTCTACGTAGCTTTCCTAACTTTCTGCGTGAATATAGGTAATTTATAAAATCTGATTTGACTGTGGGCTTTGCGCTCACAGGAGCAGAAAACGCTTATGGAAAAAGGCATTACTTCAACTCTCAGGTCACACTTCCGATGTTTAAATGCTGTCAAATGTAAGCAGAAAAACTATTTGAGTAGAGATTAAAAAAAAATGCGGTTGCCAGGAGGTGCGTGCGTGTCGCGCGCGGTCGCGTGTTCGTCGCTGTTTTTTGGATGCCCTATACCTTGTTTTTGGTATAAGATTTCGTGGCCGTGGGTCTTCATCTTACGAGGGACCGTAGATTCGCCCGCAGGAACGATTACTTTTGGATTGGAGCAGGAATCCTCCTTAAAGCACCTTATCCTTCCAACGCTGATTTTGAGGATGCGCTTACCAAATAACTCAATGTTGCGTCTTGCAGCTCTACTACTGCAACTCTAATCTCCGTATAGTTTGCCGAGCCACTTTCTTTAAAAACGGCGTCCAGGCAAATCTGTACAAATGAGTATCGCCAGCGGAAACTGATTTTGGGAAACTGCGCAGAGTTACACCATAAGATGAGTTACTCAAGCTCTAGGTCTCCATTACTATCAGCATCAAGTAGCAAATTCCTTACTAATGCGGTTTGAATTTGTACATAAAAGTTTGATTTGCTTTTCCCTTTTTTTCTGTAGTAGATATTACTTTTTCGATCTGGACAACCGTCTCCTTTCAGCTTCATTGAATGCCTTGACTATTGGGGAGTCTGCCTATAAGCGAAATTCTTGCAAAAAAGGTGGCACTAGGAAGCTAGATACGATTGTACCAGCTTCTTAACATCGTAGTTTGTCTATAATTGTGAATGTTGTGCCCTGATCAGCGGTTGTTCGTCGTCTTCTTGCTGTGACTTCTCGAGAGCGGGCAAGATTTGTTCTTTTGTGCCTTTGTCA